CAGCACTTCAGCTTTTTTCACCTGTCTCCTTTTCCAGAAGGCATGGGCACAATAAAAGGAAGGACCCACCAGGGTGTACTCCTGACTCTAAAATTGCTGCTGCTTCTCCTCCTCCCCTTCCTCCTCTCTTTCTCCTCTTCCTTCTGTACTGGGGATTGAACTCAGAGGCACTTTACCACTGAACTGTGTTCCCAGTCTTTTTATGCAGGGGGTTGGGGTGGGGTGGTAAACCAGGGAGGCACATTCCCAGCCCTTTATATTTTTTATTTTGAGACAGGGTCCTACTAAGTTGCTTAGGGCCTCACTTAAGTTGCTGAGGCTGGCTTTGAACTTGTGATCCTCCTGCCTCAGTCTCTTGGGTTGCTGGGATTACAGGTGTGCACCACCATATCTGGCTCTTCTTGGCTGTGAAAGATTTGGATCCAGGAGTTAAATTTAGATTTGGCTTCCATAGATGGTAATGAGACAGATGAGAATGCTAGATTATTATATCTGCATGATATTCTCGGAATTCTAGGCAAATTCTCATTCTGGTATTTTAGACTGTGCATAGGTATACATAAATGTAGACATCAGCATTGCACATTTTCTCTTCTTTTTATTTTTTATTATTTTGTGGTGCTGGATATCAAACCTAGGGCCTCTCATATGCTGTGGCAAGTGTTCTACCATTATGCCATACCCTAGCCCCAGCTTGAATATTTTGCCCATCTAGATTGAAACCAAGACCTCATGCATGGTAGGCAAGTACTCTACACCTGAGCCACATCCCAGCCTGGCATTGCATATTTTAAAAACATGTATTTCTCAGTAGAAAACACTAAAACATCTAGCTATTAGGCACAGCATTGACAAGCATCTCCAGGGTAGCCTGATGATTAGGTGTGGAATGTCTGTAGTCAGATCACCTGGGTTTAGATCCTGGCTTTGCTATTACCAGGTGAGTTTGGCAGGTTACTTAGCCTCTCCAGGTCTTACCTGTAAAGGGGGATAATAATAGCACCTCCTCAGGACAATAGCACCTCCCCACAGGATTATTATGAGGACCAAAGGAATCAGCATATGTGAAGCTGCTCAAGACCATATCTAGCAGACAGTGAGTTAATATTCACCATTATTGAAGTATGAGACATCCCCTCCTTCAGTGGAATGCTGAATGCAAGCCTGGAATCAAACCAAAAAGGCTGACAGATTGAGGTTCACCACTTTTTACTTCCTAGAGTGCTGATTCACAGCAGGGGGGTCTAGAAAGCAGCACAGCAGGAAAGAGGCGGAGAAGCCTGGCTGGAGCAGTCTACTGAGGCAGCAGGAACTCCCTGAATAACTGAGCTGACTGTGCCCAGCATAAGGGAAGCAGGAGAATCTGGCTGGGTGTTTCCATGACGCTGGACTGTTTGCAGACCACCGCACCTGCATGTCTTTGAGCTCCATCATTTGTTCCTCTGTGAGCTAGAGCAGGCGTCATGATTCATGATTCGATTCACAGAGGAGGATGCTGTGGCGCAGATGTCCCCACCAAATAGAGCCCTGGCTTCAGGACTCCAGATCCAGTGTCTTTTCCCTCCCAGCCTCTCAGTGGATCTGCAGCCCCTGCACTAAGTGCCTGAACAACCCAGAAAGCCATCAAGAATGGGCTTCTCTTCTTCAACCCCTGCAAAATGTAAGGGGTGAGCAGTTCTTCCAAGAACAATCAAAACACTTCCTGCTAAAGTGGAGGGCTTCCCTTGTGGCTGGTGCTCTAGGACCTGTGACTGTGTGCTTTGAAGGTTAAGGTAGGGAGCTAGAAAGAGGAGGGGGAGAGAGCTGGCTTCATGCTTGGCCTGCTGGGTCCTCTTCAACAAGGCATGCTAAACTGATGAGCCGGAGAGTGTTAAGTGCTCTTCAGCTTGGATCAATGTGTATCACCTGGTTCCTAGCAAGAAGAATGGTGGATGGCATGTCTATTTGGGACAAGGAGGCTCAGCTGCACCCTCTTTATCCATGACAGTCATTGCTAACTGACCTTAATCTTTCCCCCTGAGTCTCAGAATTCTGAACCCAGGACTCCAGGAAGCTCTTATCAGTCACATCTGTTAAGTGAGAGGATCCTGTTGTCCATTTCTCATTTACTGGCATCCCTTCAGTGAAGTGAACAGTTAATTTATTTTGAATTTCTGCATCTTCAATTGGTGTTTAGGTGACTCGGGAATTCCTGGTCATGGCAAAAAGGTATTTACCAGCTATTAGGGATGTGACCACTCTGACACTTCCACTTTGCTGTATCATCAAGCAGCTCTTCAAATAAAACTTGGCCACTTCATTGGCACACAGTGGTCATCTGTGTTCATTGTGACCAGCCATCTTCTCTCTCTTTGGAGGCAACTGTTTTATTCCATCCACTAAAACCTAGAAGTGAGACAGTAGTAAGAAAAAGGGGGCTTCTCTTTTCTCCCATTCACATCCGAGATTAGCACACCCTGTCCAGACAAATTGAGACCCACCCTTTCTGCCCTTCTCCTCCAAGGTGACCATGTTGCTCTGAGACAGCTGTAGTACATGCCCAAGGGGACAGTATGTGTCTACAGTGGTCTATGTCTACCTTAGCAGGCCATGTACATAGTATGACCGATAATGCCTCATAGATGATTTTGTCCTGAGTATGTCTATAGGGCACTGTGGGATCTGTGAGAGTTGCAGTTCTAGAACTTCAGAGCACAGGCATTATTTCGATTGGACCTCTACTTTCACTCTTTCCCCATTTGAGCAATTAGGAGGAAGTTGGGGAGAAGGTGGCAGGACAGTAGACAGGCAATACAGACTAAACAGAATGATAACGCTGATGCTGACTTTTTTTTGTTGGTTTTTTATTTTTTAATCAGGGATTAAACTCGGAGGCACTCAACCACAGAGCCACATCCCCAGTCATATTTTGTATTTTATTTAGAGACAGGGTCTCACTGAGTTGCTTAGTGTCTCTGTTGCTGAGGCTGGCTTTGAACTCACCATTCTCCTGTTTTAGGCTCCTGAGCTGCTGGGGTTACAGGCATGCGCTACCATGCCCTGTGATTTTTTTGTGTCTTAATTCTGTTCGTGTTTGAGCCATTAGGGCAACTTGGTGATGTGGCTTGAAAGTGATCAGTCCCTAGGCCACTATATCAAAAAGTCTTTTGGTCACTCACTGCCAGGTTGTCACCGATAAACTCAGGATCCCTGAAGGTCAAGACTTCCTTCTGGCACAAGAGCTTTGGATTCATACTAACCAGACCTGGCAAATGGCACTGTTTCCAACCAAAGACCTGACTGTGCCTTTCAAAAATGTTTATCATGAATTCACTCTGAATGTTCCTGATCATCCTTAGAGTGTTGGGAAATATAAAAAGATGAAAAAGGGAAAAAAATATCCATCATCCCATAAACTAACCAAAAAATTTCAACATTTAGATATATTTTATTGAAGTCTTTTTAATGCATCTATGTATAAATTTTTAGAAAACTGTCTCATAATGAACGTGCAATTTTACCAATTTTACACTTAAGTACCAATTTTTATATCATTTAATAATTCAAAAACACCATTTTAAGTGGATATGTTAAGAGTTCATCTTACTGACACACCATAATTTATTTAACTCTTTTGCTGATGAACATTTTAGTTGTCTCAACATTTTTATGAATCGCTATTCATAATAGCATGTGTTTGGGGGGAGAAAATAGAATAGGAGACAGAGTTTTTCATGTCTTGATGGAATGTCAGTGCTGTTCATCATATGCTATCACTAACCTCACAGATATATGCATGTGCACACAGATTTTATGTTCCTGCATAGATATACAGTATGCTTTTTTTTTACAGCTCAAAAAGCATTTTTTTTTTTATATCGAGGATTCAATTCAAGGGCACTTAACTACTGAGCCACATTCCCAGCCCTATTTTGTATTTTATTTAGGGACAGGGTCTTGCTGAGTTGCTTAGTGCCTTGCTAAGTTGCTGAGGCTGGCTTTGAACTTGCAATCCTCCTGCCTCAGCATCCTGAGCCACTGGGATTATAGGCATGTGCCACCTCCCCTGACAAAAAAAGCACTTTTTAAATTAGAGCTTTATGGGTGTGCATAGTAATTGGGTTCATCCTGACAGATTCATACATGCATGGAATTCAACTTCAGTTCATGATCCCCCTTTTCCCTGCCCTCCCCCATTCTCCTTCCTCTACTAGACTTCCTTTCACTCTTCTATTTATTTACATTTGATTGGTTATTTTTACTTTGCATAAAGGTGAGCTTCCCTGTGGTATATTTATATATGCACATAAAATGATTTTTTAAGAATTCATTTTGCATGTTTGATACTTAAAAAAAGGGACTCTACAGGCTGCCCAGAAAAACTGAGCCTTTGAGACACTAATCATAAAGGATTAACATTCTCTTCCAGTAAATTATAAAAACAGTGGTAGTGGCGGGGCAGGGTGCACACCTGTAATCCCAGCTACTCAGGAGGTTTAGGCAGGAGGATTGCAAGTTCAAGCCTAGCTTGGGTAACTAAGTGAGACCCTGCCTCAAAAATAAACAGTGAAAAGGGCTGGGGAGCTGGGCACAGTGGTGCTTGCCTGTAATTCCAGGCTTGGGAGGCTGAGCAAGAGGATTGCAAGTTCAAAGCCAGCCTCAGCAAAAGTGAGACGCTAAGCAACTCAATGAGACCCTGTCTCTAAATAAAATACAAAAATAGGGCTGGGGATGTGGCTCAGTGACTGAGTGCTTCTGAGTTCAATCCCTGGTACTAAAAAAAAAAAAAAAGGATTGGGGATGTAGCTCAGTGGTAGAGTGCCCCTGGGTTCAATGTTCAGTACTGCAAAAAGCAAAGTAAAAATCAGCGGTAGGAGTAGTTGAGTCTTGGAGAACAAATTGTAGCTTCTCTGTTGAGTCCTTTGAGGTGCTGTTTAATGGGATGTGATGCCTTTGCTTGTCTTCCTGCCTGTGGTCCATTTGGTGCTCACAGCTGCTTCTCTCTCCTTCTCTCCCTGTAGTTACTGGGGCTTCCGGATGCAGATGATGATGCATTTGAAGAGTACAGTGCAGATGTGGAGGAGGAGGAACCAGAAGCGGACCACCCCCAAATGGGGGTCAGTCAGCAGTAAACCTCCAAGGGCACCTTCTGGAGAAGGAGAGTGAGCCCGCTGTACCCTAGGTGGGGTCCTGTGCTCCTGGGTTAGCATTAGCACTTCAAAACAGGACGTCTGGCTCCCAGCATCCAAATTAAAATGAATTACCTTTTTAATGACCACACAATATCTGTGATGAGCTTTGCTCAGAAGTGACCTGAATTTCAGTCCCGCTTCAGTGGGGTTTCTATGGAGTTGTCTTGGTAGCCTTTGCCACTTTGAATTTAGAGTCTTTTGTGGCTGCCTATTCTCTCTTGAGTTTATGTTGGAGAATTAACGTTCGCTGACTGGAATGTAGAGAACTCTGAATGTATTAAGGATGTGTTTTGAGTCCTCGCAGGTGACCTGGCTGAGGAACAGCATGGCAGAGAAGCAATGCAGTCTGCACTTTTATGTACCTTTTAAGTGTCCGTAAGTGAAAGGTTTTGCTTATAAAGCATGAGTTTAAATATCTAGTCATTAAACTGCACAAGTGCAAATACAAGGGCAGAAAAGGATGATCACTTAGCTTTGGATTAAGAGGGTAAGAGAGGCAGAGAAGCCTGGAGTGTTTCGCCATCACTGAGCTGGTTACCTGGTACATAGCAGCTGGTTCCTGGTTAGATATAAATGTTACTTGCTTGTTCAGTTGTTTTAAAAATGCTAATTCCAAAGCCACTTTTTAGTCTAATAGTGGAAAATATAAAGGGGTGAAAGACTAAAACTAACAATTTCTTTAAGCATTTTATAAACCATCCCATATATGAAATGAGACATTTACCTTCTGTCTTTCTAATGAGATGGCCACTTGTTAAATCAAGAAAACGCCCAGAATCCAAGTAAGTGCCACTTAAACTTTGAAGCCATAGATCCATATATAAATTTAGTAGGAAAATAAACCAGGATAAAAATTTTTTAAAAAAGTATAACGGAATCCTTTACTTTCTTAATCTTTTATTCTTAAAAAAAAATAGTCAAGAAAAGGCTCCCGTTCTTTAATTTGTTTAAAATTATAACAAGTACTTTAAGGAACCTAATAGTAGTGAACTTTTAAAGTAACATGAAAATAGGCAACTTGATGATTGGGTGGCTTGGTTAAAGGGGGCATATTTAATGATCAAGATACTCAGACAACTCACAGAAACAACTGCTGTCTTCATTTAGCCAACAAATGCTTACTGGGGACATCAATGCCAGGTTGGAACTATTTGACATACTCGTTTTCTTGGACCTCGGGCATCATCTCTGGTTCTAATCATGTAGGATGTGGAATGAATGCCTCTTTTACAGCACTTGACTTCCTCTAGCATCTGGGCTGGGAATGTTCCAAACATGCACACATGTGCCCGTTAGGTTGTCAGTATTTTGAATTAAAAAAATCAGTAGCAGAGGCCACAGAACTCATGGGAGTCTTGTACATCTTCCAGGCATGTTGGTGTGAACCTGATCGTCTTAGCATTTTCTGTTTAATTAAGTGGTGCTGTGAGGAGCTTGGCTACTCGTGGTCTAATAGTGTGCTGTACTTTTCTGTCATTGGTAAATAACACGGTGGTCTCCATCCGTGCTCCAGTGATCCATGTTTTATTCTTTTCTTGGGAAAGCACATTAAAGGTTAATTTCAAGTCAGATCAATTTCCCTAGAGTAACCTATTAGCAAAAGCAGACTCAGCGATTCATCCATTGGGGTGTGTCCTGCCTCAGCAGCCCTGCCCCGTGCCCACTGGCTCTGCCCTGAACAGAGGTCATCATGAGCTGACATCTGCAGAGAGTGCCCAGGTTTGGTACCTCCAGTTCTAAGGTAAACTGGAATTTACACACAGAGGGCTTTACATCTAAATTTACATATGCTTGGGAATGGAATGGTTGTTACTATAGAATATATCTTATCAAAAAAAAATGTTTAGACTTGAACCAGACACATTTTGGTATCACCATGTTCATGTTCTGTTTATAAAAATTGAGCTGAAATGGTCAGCCACTCACTGAGAATTCTGGTCTCTGTTCTGCCTCAGTGGTTGGGGAGAGATCACTGTGTGACTTATTTCATGGTAAAACCCCAAAGGCTTTAAGCAGATCCAATTGTTTCCTCTAAAACTTCCTTCTCTGATGGTGTGCACATCCCTGCAGTGCTCTGGTGTGCTTACTCAAACATTCCCTCCAGCCCACACATGGATACTCTCGTTGGCACCTGCCGGTCAGTTAGATTGGGCAGCCTGTGTTAGGGAATTGATTCTGTGGTGCAACAGGTGTGGGACCTTTCATAGACACTCACTAGGAGGTACAGCTGTGTGCTGGGGTGAGGAAAGACACCTAGGTTCTAGCCTTGACTCTGCCTTTTTTTTTTTGGTACCAGCGATTTAATCCACGGGCTGTCCCCACTGAGCCACATCCTCAGCCTTTTTTATTTTTTATTTTAAGTTGCTTAGGGCCTTTCTAAATGGCTGAGGTGGTCTCAAACTTGAGATCCTCCTGCCTCAGCCTCCCTAGTTGCTGGAATTACAGGTGTGCACTGCCACATCTGGCTTGCCTCTGCTATTGACTGTGGGATCTTGATGAGTTATTTGGCTAGTCTCTGGAACAGGGGTATTTGCTCTTCCAGCTTTTAAGACTGGCCTTCTTTACCTGCTTAACCAACTGTGTGTATGTAGGAGCAACCATCAAGGACACTTAGAGACACAAAAAGAAATGTGTTTGGAATCTTGCCAAAGATACTGTCCTTAGGATGCTGGCCCCGTGGACTGCTTTAGAAAGTGTTGATTTGTGAGTGTCCAAACTTCTGGAGCCTGGGATGGGCCCCAGCCTGTGTGGCTGATGAAATCCTGTTTCTCCTAGGAGAGGGCACAGGGAAGCCCCAGAAGATGTGCTTGTCTCAGCTGTACATATGCTGCCTGTGGAGGGCATAGCTTCTTAGTGTCCCAACATTGGAGGCTTTGGAAGTGGTATGCATTTAGCTTAACTGAGAGGGGAGATTTGCATGTAGAACAATTGAAAGACAGTGAAAGAAGTCCTTTGACTTTTACCCTGTCATTCAGGAGAGAGAAAGTAAAGTGTGTGTGTGGGGGGGGTGAATGTGGGGGATGTGCTGATTGCTTGTTGATCCCTGTGGCCAGCAGTGAAATCTGGAAATCATGCCTGTGATAACACACCAAACGTTGATCCTGGGTTTGAGTGAAACATGGAGACGTTTTTTCTGGCTGCTTGGTTGCTTTCCTCTGTCTGATGCGTGGAGCAGGCTTCAGGGAACTGCAGGGACTGCAGGCCCAGGGAGGGTGAAGCCCCACGCAGTGCCTGGCACCACCATGGGTTCAGTGCACCGAGGTGTCCACCCGTGTCCCCCAGGCCCACAGCAGCACATGGTACATTGTTCTTCCACGAGCAGAACACAAAAAGTCTGTTATGTCGGGAGATTGTCCTTATGTCCTGGTGCCAGAATTGGGCTCCCAGTGTACTTAAGAGAAAACTTCTCTAGTAGCAACTGTCATTGTTCACGTATAAACGGAAACTGTTCTCTAGCACAATATGCGTCTCTGAATACTGTTCCAGTTTCATAAGAGCACAAAGTGGATGGTCCTAGGGGAGCTGTGATCCCAGAACATCGGTGCAGTTGATATTTTAGGAACCTGCTGGGCATGTTTAAATTCATGAGCTGAGAAACTAGTATGAACAAATCTGGCTTCACATAGCGAGAGGCACGTAGGAATCCACAGGACTTCATTTGGGGTGGGAGGAGAGGAATAGGCACAATGAAGGAGTTAGGTGTCTAAGTCAGGTGTCTTGAGTTGGGGGGGCACCCTTGACAGTTACCCCATGAGGTGCAGGAAAACTGTTTTCCTGGCTGACTCTAGGGGCCTCCTAGCTTCAGAGAATTGACTGCGGAGAGGACTGAGAGGAAAGGCCTTGTGCTGGTGATGGCTTTGTGATTTTAAAAATGTCCCCGCACCCCCGGTCCCTAGGCCAAAAGATGCATTAGGTGTTCTGCACATCTGGTGACATTCCTTCCCTTACTAAAACCAGCTGCCGGCCAGAGAAGCCTGTCTTCCAAGAGTGCTGACAGATCCAAGAGCAGCTATCATCACAGGCAGGTAGAACAGAAACCCAACTTGGGTCTCACCAGGGCTGCCAGAGGCCCTTGTCGGGCACAACCATCTGCTTCACCTGCTTCAGGGTTGCAGAAAGAGCACAATGAAAATCCCAGTGAGCACTGACTCCAAAGAGATGTCACTGCCTGTCGGTTGCTTCATCTTCAGAGAAGCCTAACTTTTTTTTTTTTTTTTTTGCATTAAAAAATAATCTTCTTTCATAAAGACCCAGTTTTCTTGGTTTTATTATAACAGGTATGACATGAGAAGCTGAGGTCTTTTAGGTTTTATATGGAATAATTCTAACACTTGACAGAATGCCAGTAGCCCAGGGTGTCCATGGGTGTCCATGGCATTTCATGTTCGAAACCCCGCTTACAGCACCAGAAGGCTGAATAGGCACAAGCAGTTCATGGTGTGTACCAGGCCACACAAAAATCAATACTGAATTGGAACTGTACTTAAGTTGTTTGGTACTAGAGAGGAAGCTGACAGTCTGTTCTTGGTAAACTATCTTCCCCTGGTTTTTTCTTCCATTTTGTTATTGTTTCTCAAGATTCATTTCTTTACCAGGTACTTTCTGATACAAGCATCAAGTCGCAGAGTACTCTGTACAAGCGTCAGCTTTGTAGAGGAGGAAGTAAACCTTCAATGCCAGGCAAATTGGAACCCACCTGCCTGTCAGTCCCAGTTGGTGTATGAGAGCACATTTAGCCATCGACAGGAGAAGCAGAAGCAAGGAACAATTGTTTTTGTTGGTTTTGGTTTTTTTGGGTTTTTTTTTAGGCAAGACGTGTTTCCTGTAGGGTGTGTGTACTTTCTTTGCCTTCACGTTTCCTTTGAAAGAAATCTCTTGTAAATTACAAAACTGTGAAATGGGTTGCCAAAAACCGTTGCCCTTTGTTAGATGCCTCGAACAGTGGAAAAAAAATCTCTCCTGCACCCTGTCCGCATCTGCTCCCTCCTCCCTTCCCTGGAGGGAGGATCTCATCCAACGATGTAATTACCATACGCTTGCTATTAAAGAGCCTTCCAAACCCTGCTGGTGTGTGTCTCTTGTTTACTCTCTCCACAAAGTTTGGTCCTAATGGACACTTAAGTACCAGGGGCAGAAGTGGAGGTGGAAGGAAAGCTGAGAAGAGAGATTATGAAGGAGGTAGTTAAAAAAAAAAAAAAAGAATGTCACCCAATTAAAAAATGTAAGCCAAAAAAAAAAATAAAAGAAGAAGAATAGGAGGAAGAGGAGGAGGAGGTGGTGGTTACATAAAACAGATCCAGAGGTTAATAATATATGTGTTTGGGGGTATCCATAGCTCTCACCAGTATTGTAGCTGGTGTTTAGTAAATTTCTATACTACCTCTGAACTAGTACTTTAGTATGTGAGGACTTTTGGGGGGGTACTGGGGATTGAACTCAGGGACACTGAACCACTGAGCCACATTTCCAGCCCTATCTTTTTTTTTTTTTTTTTTTTAAGAGACATGGTCTCACTGAGTTGCTTAGCAACTCACTTTTGCTGAGCATGGCTTTGAATTCGTGATCCTCCTGCCTCAGCTTCCCCAACCACTGAGATTACAGATGTGTGCCACCATGCCCTGCGGACTTACTTTTTTCTAACCTAGTTAGCAGTCCTTTATGGCACAATTAGAAATCTGTATCCTGTGGCCATTCTGTGACACCATTTCCCTGTGACTTTCCTCCCAACTGTCACTAAACTAAACACCCATGCACACACACAATAGCACTTAAATAATACATCTGAAAGTTGGCGGTAAGTTTCATGATTTGATTAAGAGTAAATTTCTTTTTCCAAATAAATTGGTCTCTATAGATTGTTAAATTAGATTGAGAGTGGTTTAATAGAGAGCTCAGAGGCTCCTGTGTGTGTTTTAAATAACTTGATTTGGGGTTCTTGTTTTCTGGTGTGGCTGTTTTCAAAGAGGTGGACCATTCATAAACCTTTCTAGACCTCACAGGTCTGGTGCAGACCAAGCCTTTCTTATGAGGGAATCTCTTTTTTACTGCAATTTGATTGCTCTTGTGAATGTATTTTATAAAATGCAGATGGCCCCTTTGAGTGCAGGGACTGGTATTAGTCATATATTTCCAAGCTGGGTGTGGCCTGAGCCTCTACCCTCCCCTACACCAAATTAAAAATACATTCCCTTTTGTAGATAATCATTCTGTAAAGTGGTTGGCCGGGCGAAAGGTTCTGGCCCTCACTGACTGTGACCCCCTCCCTTCTGTGCCCACCCAGCCTTTGTTTCCTCATTTGTAAAAGGAAGAGTGGGGGACGCAATGCTGAGCCCCTTTCTGACACTGGCATTAGGAGTGCGCCTTGACCTGGCTGTGGAGCCAGCAGGGAGGGTGGATGTGATTCACAAGGGACACAAGTCTCCCAGAGCCACCGGCATTGACTAACTGTTCTCCAGTTTGAGCCTGGTGTCCAGAGGATCCCTTATTAGAAACAAAGGCCCAGGCTGGTGGCATGGGTGTATAATGAGCCAAAATGTCAATCCCTCAACACCCTCTCCTGCCTTCCTGTGCTTCCCTTCTCCTTGTGGTCAGTAATAAGAATTCAGAAGCTGTACCAAAATAGGAGGAGCAGAGTGTCTTGCTCCAGGATGCAATAGGATCTCATTTCCTTTAGAAACAAACCTGGTTTCCATTATAAAGTCAGGCCAAGTGTGATACCACGTTGTCCTCAGTGCTTATTATGCACACGTGTGGATGGATGTGCAACCCAAGAAATAAAGCAAAACCCACTATACACTGTTTGGGCCTGCACCAGGGTTAGACCAAGCGGATGGATGTGTGTGTGTGTGTGCATGTGTGTGTGTGTACAAGCGCGTGCACGCATGCACCGGCAGGAGTATCTGGGGAATAGTTTTCCCTAGTGCCCGGCTGAATTGGGATGAATGAATATTCTTTTCTCCTCTTTGCAGACGTGGCCATCTGGTAGTTTGGAAACTGGAGAAATGCAACCTGAATTAGCTGGCACTGCACCTTTTTCCTCTTAGTTCCATGCTAGGGAAAGAAAAGAAAAAAAAACAACTTTGAAATACTGTCCCGATCATTGATCCACCTTTTCCCCTCTTTGAAGTAGAAAACCGTGACATTTATAAAAATCTGAGCAAACTGTAAGTCAGTAGCTAAAGAAAAGGTAGGAGAGAGCACTTAAGTAGCAAAGATATTTTCTAATGAAATACTGAAACAACATGGAGTGGAAACACCTGCAGGGAAGTGAAGTTGGTCCTTCGAGATGCTTTTTAACTGGAATCCTCTAGAGGTCAGCACCACATAAAGAAAGGGCTTCCCGGCACTGGGTACCCACGCCCTTCCCTTTTCTCTTTGTGAAGGCTTTGCGAGAGGAGGGGCTGTCCCAGCGGGGCACAGGAGAAGAAAATGTATATTTTTCTTTATATATAAGCCCCTCCCATTTGGCTTGTGTTGTATTTTGACTCTTCTCACCCATCTTTCTCTGCAGCTCCTACACCCACGTATCACACATTGCTAGTTGATTGACCAATCAATGAAGTGTGGCATTTAGCTCACTCTGGGAGGGGGTAGGGAAATGCCAAAGATGAGGTGGAAGCATGCTGCATTTTGCTTTGGGCAGGTGCAAAGCCGCTCTGCATTCTGTCTGTCTCCTGCTTATTAGCCCACAGACTTCCCTAAACCTTGCAACTCCCAATGGACTCCAGGGACCACAGGTTTCTTTTTAGAACCCAAGTCCACCTTCTTGAGGTCTACACGGGTCAGGAGTGCAAAGGGGAGAATTTAAGCATCTTTGAGAGATGTGGCCAGAATTGTAGTGGGAACCTCTGAAAACTGGCAGGCATTCCTGGGGGCTCCCAGGCACAATAGGCAAGAACACCATGCAGGGATGGCCACAGGCTTCCCCACCACTTAGGCCCAGATCCTGATCTAGAGGTAACCTTGGGAGTCCCCAAAGGCTCCCAGAGCGGCCTAGGGTTTTCTTTTAGCCCTATAAGGAACAAAAGGGGAAATGACAAAGGATTTCCTCCCTTTCTTTCTGTTGCCCCTTCTTGTTCAGGTCTCCCAAAGAGGCTTCACCTACACCACAGTCGACTAAAGGGCATGGTGGGTTGTCCTTTGTTAGAGGATTGGCCTGAGCCTAGGACCCACACTGAGAAGGGATATGATGAAAAGAAAACAGTTCTCAGCACAATGGAAGCCAGGGCTCCCCAGAAAAATATCTTAATGTTCAGTGCCTTAACAGCAATTTCACTAGTACCATTAAATTTCAAAATGATAAGCTAGGTGTGGTAGTGCATGCCTGTAATCCCAGTGACTCAGGAGGCTGAGGTTGGAGGATCTTAAATTCAAGGGCAGCCTGGGCAACTTGGCCCTCAACAATTTAGATCCTTTTGGCCATGCTGGGGAAATTAGGATAAACACTGATACTTTTGCTGGGTGCCGTGGTGCACACCTGTAATCCCAGAGGCTCAGGAGGCTGAGGCAGGAGGATAGTGAGTTAAGCCAGCCTCAGCAATGCAAGGCGCTAAGCAAATCTGCAAGAACCTATTTCTAAATCTGCAAGACCCTGTTTCTAAATAAAATACAAAATAGGACTGGGGATGTGGCTCAGTGGTTGAGTGCCCCTGAGTTCAATCCCCAGTACCAAAACCAAAACCAAAACCAAACCTGATACTCCCCCCCCCCCCCCCCGGTATCCACAAACTTGAAAAAGTTGGAAAATGGCTGGAAAAAAAATTTGGAAAAAAAAAAAAAAGATTAAAAAATGAATGGCAACAGATTTATAAAACAGGATTTTCAGGCATGGGCAAGCCCTGGGAAGAAAACCCTTTGGCCTTCCTTTTTGGCTCCTTCCTAGGTCTTGTCTTCTGAAAAACTCCTGAAGCATCCCAGCACATTCCCAGCCCTCTCCTTCCCCTCTCCATGCATAGGCAGGAGCCCACAGACCCTTGGTTCCCACTCTTGCTGTGTGCTGGCCATGCATGGAGGGAATGGAAACCAGACACCACATGTCACAGAACATTGAATTCACTGTGTGCCCTTCTGCTTGTTTGGGTCATCTCTTCCCTGCTGCCTCCATAAACACAGGGAAAGAAAAGTCTGCCAGGTCAGTATCCCCTAAGGAATGTCGGTATGCAGATTCACCTTTCCTGCTTCTGGGATCCTGAGTGTCATCACATATAGGCAGCTCTGTGACTGGAACCCTCCACCGACCCCAGGATCACGGGCTCGCTGGGGAGTGGCTATGGGGAGAGCATGCGCAGCCCACAAGCTCAGCTTCTCTGGTTTCCAAATGATTCGAGGTGAGAGGAGGGAACACAGGTGAGGTGAGTCAGGAGAGGCGGGTGGAAATGGATACTCAAGGAGCATAAAGCTGTCCTGCCCTGGAGAGCGGAGGGAGCACATGGTGGGACAGAAGGCTTGGTGTTCTGGATCTGCCCCTTGCTTCCCACCTGAGTTTGGTCTTTTAGTTCTTTAGTTTCTTCTATGCAGAAATGTTAAGGGATCCTTTGAGCCTGAGGATATAAGGGGCCTTGTAGAAGATTAGCTTTCGAATGGGCCTGGAAAGTAGGAACTTAAAATTTTCTGATTCCAGGATCATCTGATACCAGAAGTGGAAGCACACAGAGCATGCAGTCTTCCCTCCACCCCCCGCACCGAGGTCTGGCTCGTGGCGGGGTTGTGGTCACACACTTGCCCTCATCAGGAGCATCCTTGGAAGAACTGTCCGTGGGTCTGTCTTTCCCACCCGCCGTCCTCCCCCATTCTCTCCTCGCCCTCTTGCCTCATGTGGAGCACTTTAACAGTGGTCCTCCACGTGTGTGTCTTCTGCGTCCGTGGACTCCAGGAAATAAGTGGGAAAAATGGCCCCATACTGAAGAATTACAGAAGCTTCTTGTGATTACTCCCTAAATAACACAGTACTACAACCATTTGCATAGCATTTACATTGTATAAAATATATGTAATCTACAGTTTATTTAAAGTGTATGGGAGGATTGCATAGCTGACATGCCAATACGACACCATTTTATATAAGA